ATATATATATATATATATAGCTCTTTCTCTGCCACCTCTCCCTACCACACTACATGTGACTCGTCCTCTCTTTCTCTCCCTTTGTTTTTTCTTTTTACCTTTCGCCTCTTTGCCCTTCCATCTCACTATAGCTCTCCAAACTCTCAATTTCAAAACATATAGGTATATCCCTGACGCATATTACTACTACTAAATAACGAGTGCCTAATAATCACAAACCGTTGACTCACCATTTGTAAAATATCTACATCCTTTGGCACAACCAACAGGGTCAGATCTGTTTCACTACAGGGAAAAGATGGAGAAAAAAGTGATGTAATGTAAAACAACACATAATCATTGAACGTTTTTCTGGCTATTTTTTCTATTTGCAACAACACTTGACTATTGCCTCTCTAAGCGGTTCGCAAGCTACGCACCCGCAAGTACACTGATGCAAACACAAACCTGCAACGCAGTAGTTGGTTTGCCATCAGGGGGGGGGGGCGAAACTACTTTCACGTGCACGTATTTACTTATTGGATTGTAATTAGTTCACATTAAGAAGCTAAACGCCCCTGACCTAAATCCAGTAAAATCACAAAACAAATGCGTCGATTCCTTATTCCGTGTTTGACTATCCCTGTGGTAGTTGGTCTTTACTCTGGACTCTGACAAAATTGATGGCAGCTCAACTGGCTTATTTTAAACAGGCACATTTTAAGAAAGGTTTGCCAGATTTCTGTGGCAAACAATTTGGGCATCCGAATCAAATCAGTGTCAGTATTTGACACCTGAAAACAATCTGAATTCTATAATTGCTAGCCTCGGCAGTGTGCCAATTGGCAATACCACTGATATATGCACAAGTTTCTTACAAAAATCGAATATAAAATAAACGATACAGCATTTCACAGCTTGATTTTAAATAACTTATCAGTACCATAATTATCAAGAGTCTTTATGTGCTCTTGATAATTATACGACCACACTTCATAAATGTCACAAGATAACTCTCTGGTATGCGGTTCTTACTACACTTATGACAAACCGAACACAAATGAAGTATAGCCATGAGTGAGAACATTGGATACTAAGGATGGGGTAGAAGAGAATTGATGATGTGGTGGGGCAGGGACGTGAGGTGGGGGGGGGACTTGGTTGTGGGACTGGGGGTGAGAGGGGATACTGTGGGAATGCAACACAGGCACTTTTCAGGAGCGTTTCAATAAAATATAATTCTAAATAAATACGAAATCTATTTACTACCAAAGTCTCAATGTTTCTCTACTCTATTTCGCCTATTATTGCCGACAATTTCCTGTAATTGCCGTGCAAATGCTCCTCTGCAACACACATGTACACCGCGCGCACGCTGCCGCACATTGACACATCTATATAGGCACACATTTGCACGGCATTTACAGGAAATTGTCGGCAATAATAAGCAAAAGCGAGTAGAGAAACATTAAGACTTTGGTAGTAAATAGATTTCGTATTTATTTAGCATTATATTTTATTGAAACGCTCCTGAAGTGCCTGTGAGATGCAAGACCACGGTGGGATGGGGGAAGGATTCGCACTCACCACGACTGTATGAGGTCGATAACCTGCGCGTAGGTCTTGCCCGTGACTGGCTCGGTGTTGACTGCAACGATGCGGTCACCGGTCTGCAGACCAGCCCGCTCTGCTGACCCTTCCTCTTTCACCTGCTTCACGAAGATGGTATCCACAGGCTCCAGGTCGCTGAGCTGGCCATAGCGTCGCTGCCGCGCTGCAAGCCGAGCGACCGTTGATCACGTAATCTATGACACTTACCACGCATGCGCGCACACACATACGCACGCATGAACGCACGCACACACGCACACACACACACACACACACACACACACACACACACACACACACACACACAAGCGCGCACGCAGTAGTTGTAGTAGCTCTTCCTCCCTTCACCACCACCCCCCGCTCTTCTTCTCGGTACCAACAACCTGCTCTTCCTCCCTATATCACCACCCCACTCCTTCTCACTGTACCAATATCCCCGCTCTTCCTCTCTGTATCATTACACCCGTTCTGTCCGCGCCCCGCGCTTCCTTCTTACACCACCACCCCGCTCTTTCCTCCCTCCTCTATCTACCAGCATCTTTCTTCTCCTCCCCTGGCACAGTAACCGTTCTTCTCTTCTCTATCCTCACCCCTGCCGTTCCTCCCTCAACCAGCACCCCTGCTCTTCCTTCCTGCACCAGCACTCCCGCTCTTCCTCTCTGTATTAACACTCCCGCTCTTCCTTCCTGCACCAGCACCCTTACTCTTCCTTCCTGCACCAGCACCCCTGCTCTTCCTTCCTGCACCAGCACTCCC